ATGTCACTTTCTGTTGACAGCTTTCAAAGAGCTTTCTGGTAATACGAAAAATTAACTTGCGTGTAAACTTCAGTTAATAATATCAATTGATATCCATTGTTTTTGCCATGGTAAAAATGGTGAATTTGATGTTATGAAGTTATTCCCTATATTGATAATACAATTTGATTTATCCCCAAATAACTGCAATAAACAATTAGCAATGATCGCCTTTATTTTCCTTACTATAAAGGTTCTAAATGACAAAGAACACTCAAAATTGATAGCTATGTATGGAAAGCAAGCATTAAAATCTAGGCCATCTGTTATAAAAAAGCAAGTCTTCATTTTGAATAGTACACATCATGTAAAAATAAAACTCGTTGTTAATTTAATTGTTGGAATGGAAGTCACTGGTTGTTATAGAAAGTCAATGATTACTTTTGAAGTTATTTGTTGCTAAGGAAATTCAATGGTTGTTACGGAAGTCACTTGCTTATACGGACAGTTAATTATTGAATTCACAGGTTTCTTTTAAAAGAAAACGGTAGCTATTGATAACAATGGTTGCTAAAGGAAGTCGATTGTTGTTGTGGGAGCTAAAGCTTTCGAGAGTTATAAATCATGTCGAATGGAGTTAAGTTCAACATTATTGAACTAACATATGAAATTATATAAAATAAATATAAACGAAGTTTATCGGGGTATACTGGAGTCAGCTGGTGGTCGGATGCAGATTTCTTGTCCGGGACATAACTCAGAATGTACAGGAGATATCAACTTCAAATTTTGTAGGTAGATACAACTGAATGAGTAAATGTGCGTTTAATAAGAATCGTAAACCTCCCGTTCCTATATTTGGAGTTATTGCCCTTTGTTCATTTTAACACTTAGAACTTTGTTCATGACATAAATTGAGAACTATAAAATTTATCAACTTGAAACTCATTGAGTTGATGTGCAGTGCCTACAACTTTGTAACTGTCTCTTCCCTGAGTTTGGTGTCATTGCCCTTTGTTCATTTTTACAATTTGAAATATGTCAAGGACGAAACGTAAGAAATTTAAAAGGTAACGACTTGAACTTTTATAGGTAGATAGATCTCACTAAGTAGAAGGGCAGTGCAAAAGAACACAAAAAAACAAGAATAAAGATCAACAAAGTAAAGTAAACGTTCACAGGACGTAGATTCCGATACACCCAAGTAGAGCACCCAGAAGACACCCAACAAAAACCTGGAGTGGACATAAGGTCGGCGAAAGGAGAGGGACATGTATTGTGTGAAATAATATAAACTAAAACGGGCCCATATGGGAATAAGGGATAAGGGTTGTTAGGGTGAAAAGGGGAGGGGGTAAAAAATTTGGGGGTAAGAAAATACCTACCGTAAAAGACAATCCAACAAGGCAGACATTAGAAAACATGTAAACATTCAAAAACAAGTAACAATACAGACATGAACAACACGTGAAGGAACACAGAGGGGCACCGCCTAGGAACGGTCAGTGATTGTTAAACCACTAGGGAGTTTAAACCGGTTTTAGACGCGCCAAACCTCACTCTTAGCCCTAATATTTTCCTGAATGACAGGAAAGTGTAAATAAAATTAATCCCCGCCAAGTGAAATTCTAACAATGGTCATGGTTACTTAAGACGAAATAATTAAAACACATAAACGATTGTGTAAATATGTAGAAGAAGGTACAGCCTACTGACCATTCCCAAAGTACTCGATGCCTTAAAGGAAGGCAGAGCAACAAGAAAATCACCTACAAGAGCCTGAGGTAGCAAGACAGAAGACGAACATTAAGACAATTCAATCACAAAGGGTTTTTAAGAACTGTCCATCAGGCCAATCTCCCACTTAGTCCGTCAGATGTAATTAAAAAAGGAAAGCGTAGCGTAGCGTTAAAAGGGTTGAACACATGCGGTATGCCTTAAATAATTAGATCATAATCTCTTTTAATAAACCGTTTGATAATTTGATAATTTGAAGACGGCAGAAAAATTGCTATGACCCATGATCCTACGAAGTTTGTAAACCACATCTCCATAGAAATCAGGTTTGCTAATACCTAGTCGTAAAAGAGTTTTTAAATAACATGTACAATTAAAATATGATAAACAATATCAACAAAGAAAGGCAGCGGTCAATGAAAGGCAGCGTTTAAAACTAAATCTGAATTACATTATGAAACAACGGTTATTGCCAGTCAAAGCAAACAAAAGAAATCAAATTCCAGGTTTTCCCAAGAATCAGTTAATGATATATCAATAACATTAACTGCAACGCTTTGACTTCAAAATCACTTAAGACAAGGTGAATTAAGTCTGAATACTATTGTCTTCAACAAATCTAAAGTAAAATGAAATATCCGCGGCACGAATGAAAACAACAATATATTCTCCTATTCAATATTATATGAAGAGGAAATATGAAGAGGAAATAAATCATTACCATCGCAAAATTGGATTCAGATCATTTGCTGGACAGAAATGGAATATCATTTGTTGTAGACAATAAAAAAAACACTAGCTAAAAACGAGAAACTTGAACCTTTCACATTTCTAAGTTTTTAAAGTACGTTAAAAGATCATTTATTATAATTTTAATAAGACATTATTTTTGTTTGCGTTCGCAAGTTAATATTTTTCTAAAATCAAATTTTGTGATAAATCGAAACATTTCTGATTATTCATTCTAACTTAATGCATCATCAAAATTTTATTAACTTTAACCTGACATATTGCGGAATATGTTGTCTACGTCATTGATTAAAATCAACACGGGCATATATTCATAAACAAGATATATATCTACAATTCGCGTTGAAGACAACGACCTCAACCAATCTGCAACAGTAAATAGAAATATAGGAATTTTGAATGAGAGTAAGTTTAATTTTAAATTTATTAAACAGTTAATAAAATCATATCATGCGAACCTCTTGCGAGCATTATATTATTTTATACAACGAGTTCAATAAATTCAGTAATGAACTTACACGAATTTAATATTAATGAACTTACAAGAATTTAATATTCTGTTTATCACATACCAAAAATAAAGATCTTTCGAATTGAAGAAGAACCATTTTTCATTGACAACCTATCGAATAACACTAAAATTTAGCGCGTCTTAAATCTATGTTTATATAGCGCAAATGTCGTCACGTCAAAATATATGCATAGCCGTACAATAAAAATTTTAGAGAGTCGCAAAAGCGGCGCGAGTATGTGATACATAGTGTTTATTAGACGTCATGCAGACATGAAGAGGACACTTAAATTATTTAACTTAGTCTTTAAGAAAGTGACAGTTTTAATAAAACTAAGCTCGACATATTTTATTTTCCTTACACTTTAGTGGCACAATTCTCCAAACATTTCTCTCCTTTAAATACCAACCGGCAGAAACCGATAACAAATAAATGTTCAGAACGTAAAAAGTTCCTACATTGAATAAAAAACGAACAAATTTAAAGCTTTCCACAATAAAAATATCATAAATCTTCTTTGACTGGAGAACAGGTATGCAGAAAGAATATTTTATTATCAACAACCACTTCAACTTATTGACATAACATACGCCAGTAGGCATTATCGCAATTTTATGATAATTTAACGCCGATTATCTTCATTAAAATGCAATATTTTGTAGAATTTTTAAGACATCATTATCTAATATCGTGATCGATGTAAGATGATGTTTCACATGTGCAGACACAACAAGTGTATTATCAAATTGCAATCAAAATATTTGAATTTAGTGAGAATTATGCGTTCAGTACATCAAAGGTTTTCTTGTTACAATATAGACATAATAACATTTAGAACCCAAGAACCACCATGTATGATGTCTTCCTGTTACATGTATGAGACTAAATAATATAAAAATATCATTATTATAATGTTTTAGAAGATTTCATTCATTCATTCATTCATTCATTCATTCATTCATTCATTTATTTATTTATTTATTTGTTTATTTATTTAAATAATTCATTCATTTATTGAATTCATAATTCATTCATTCATTCATTCACTCTCTCTCTCTCTCTCTCTCTCTCTCTCTCTCTCTCTCTCTCTATAATTGTGTTATGGTATTTCATTGGTAACACATTAAAAAAACGGTTTACAGTGTTTCCATGTTATCAGCTTTTAAAACTAGAGAATAAGAATAGTATTTAACCACAAACCGAGTAAAATTACTGATATCGAAAGTTTAACGAACTTTTAAATTTATACCAAATGACAGAACAAACAATACGTCACCTTAGTGCAAGAACTCAATATCTGCTTCTTTATCTATATGCAGTTATTGAGTTTTTGCACTAAGGTGACGATATTTATATATTCATGTAAAAAGCAATCTGACTACTTAGCGCATGAAAAACTAGTTGGTGAGTAAACAATATGATCAAAGGGTTCATTGGATACATTTTAATACTGCATTCATGAATTCCAGATATACTGAACCAAATGTACTCAATTACATTGTTTTACAAAATTATAAAACAACACAATCTATTTCTTTTATAATTTTATAAGTAGCACTTTGATCTGTACATAAAGGCATATAATTACCACATTTTAAAACTATTTTGCGTTGTATTGTTCATATTTCTAACAGAAGTGTAAATCCAATTGTCATGAATACCAAGTTTTATAATACATTATTGTGTTGTATGACACTGAGATATGACTTAAACATGTGTTCCAAATCGGCGTAAACACACAAACAAATCAACAAAAACTGTAAAAGAACTAAAATACAAACAACAGTCCTAAAGGGTCTCCACTGAGGCATTTTGACATGATGGGACTTGAAATAATTTTTCAAGATTAATATTTCATTTGACGTAGGTCTAGTGTTGGTCTAGTGTTCTAATGAATTGAATGAAACACGAAGAACAGGAATTTTCGCCTAACAAAATATGATTTAATGAAAAATACACTGATATTAATATGCAAAATATACATTCATTGTATCATGTGTATTTCAGACAGAAACAGGTAAAGAATCAGGTTAAGTTTTATTGTCTGATTATTTCACATGTAAATATATATTTGTTTGTACAACCTCCATCATGCCAGCGCCACAATTTTGATGTCATTCCAAAATAGAAAACCTTGCACAGTTGTTCAGAACTTAGGTGAGGTTCGCCTTGTGCTACATCCCAGTAGGTAAATGTAGGATCCAAAGGTTGAACATTATATTTCCATTCATGGCTGCCTTCAGATCGGATACCATCTATCCATAGTCCTGAGGAATTTACCGAATGCTCGCGCAGTAATTCCTCTACATCACGGACCTTCCGCATGGAGTCAATATTAACAAGATGACCGCCATCAAGCCGACAAGTATTCTCCGCATCACTTCTACTCTTCTGATTTAAGTACATCTTCAGACAATGTCCACGATAAGTGCTATTATAATGGATTGGACACATTTGTTCGCAAATTGTAGACTCAGTCTGTACTTCAGATGAGGAACTTCCTTTACATATTTTGATATTGCCATCACACGTTCTGTTTCGTTCTTGGATTCCAAACTGCCCACCATGCATGCTTGTATCACATTGCGACCATTCAGTCCAGTCATTGCATGTACGCAACAGGCATAGTTTGTCACTTATCTTAGAGTACTTTTTTTTCAAGCTATGATATTTGTCTTCCAGGCCGATAATTACTCTTCCCAGCAGACTTAAGATAGGTTTATCAACTTTCCTTCCAATATCAACAAGATTCTTTCCATCCACGCTATTTTCGCCAACAACATAAAACCTTCTGCCGCAACTGTAAACGACTAACATTACTTGTGTCATATAAAGAAATGCACGACTCATTTCTGATGAAGAGGATATGATCTACGATTGCTTATCTTTTTGAATGAAGTTGACTGTCCGTCTACCTATAAATAATCAAGTAAACATGGGTGACACATATGTGAGAGGAGATGTATCACATTATATAAGTGTAGTAAAATTGGCGTTATAATCCATTTTTATCATATTAGTGGTATCATTTTGACAGAATACAAAGGTCGTCAACATGACTATCAAAAAACAGCAAGCATTTGAGCATTTATAGGATTTCCTAGTGAATAAATAATATATCAGAAATAAGTATTGGTTGTTTTGTTAATTTAATTGAATCAGTTGATAACCATAACCCGATATACCATTGACCAATCTCTTCAGTCTGCATTGACTGGAAAAAACTAGTCAAGAGCACGAAATATCAAGTACTATTATGTCTTCTCTTGTGAAAAATAATAAAGTGTGACATTCAACATGAATTTAGATCTATTTGTTTACACAAAACTTAAGTTATTTCCTGTTTCTAAAATAGTTGCTCTTCCCATAACCAAAATAACCAAACAAACACATTTATATTTTACAAATGCTCACATTGCTTTAAAAACACATTTCCACATCCAAAGAGTTGTACCAATATTCCCTCTACCTAAGAAACATCGGTCAGTGGAATACCTAATGCACATACAGGAGTCACAATATAAGCACTCATATCAGTTGTCACTGTGACTCTTCTTGTCTCAATATTGGAAAATTAATTCATCACTCATACTATGTACAAAGTTTTAATTTTTCCGCTTTTGTACATATTTTTAGCTAGTGCCCACACATAATATTCAGTGAAGTGAAGGAGTGTGGTATTTACTAGAAGAAGACGAAAAAGATGTACTAAAATGTGATATACATATAAAGGTATTTATCAAATGGGTTTGTCACATGCTCTTCAGATAAGCACGAGTATTTGTGTATTAATTGTTTGCTGGCTTGTTTAAGGAATAAATTGCATTATTACAATTTTAACATGATTGCATGTATGCAAATAAGGTTGATATCTTGCTCAACAGTTTTAATATGTTTTGTCCTTTAAAGAGTATATTAATGCGAAAAAAGTAGTTATAAAAAAATTTTAACAAAGAGCATAAATATCTTTTGTCATTCGGAAAAGTATGCAGATACATAAACTAAGATATTAAAGCAATTTTTATTTCTATTTTATTTAATTTGGCAAATAGCCTATTAATATATATATTAATTAATTGATAGTAATATATTTCTATTTTAACCAAAATGACACTGTAGATATAACAAAGTGTGCTTACTTTGTAATACCTATTCCAAATAGTATATTCGCTTGTCCTCACATCTAATGAAAGTGAAACAAAAACATATCTGAATAACTTTTTAAAACCTGATGCAAAAAAAACTTAACTTTTGAATGTGCAACAAGTTTTAAAACTATACAACATGGTTTTGAGAAAAAAAACAGGGGGGCTTTTTTTTTATTTAAAATTTGGAAAAAAAAATTTCATGACTTATAAAAGCATGTGGGGTTTTTTATTTTTGTTTAAGAAATTTTTTAAAGTTTCTTGCTCAAGAAACAACGGCTTGCCTCCGGCAGGGTTTGAACCCACGCGGTCAGCAATCCTTAGATTACTAGTTGGTACGACTTGGTCACGCCGCCACTCTATTCACTTGAAGCTTCTGAAGAAAGATCTATGTTGGTCGCAAAACAAGCAATATAATTATGCTTCATTTGAGGAATTGTAGGCCATAACACTTTATAATGGATCGATTGACCGCGCTGACCTACGAAACAATGGAAAGCAATAAATCCCTACTTCTTCGGATGGGGCATAACTTTTACTTAAGGTTAAAAAACAAATTCGTTCAATTGGAATACTTAGAACTCAACTGGTGAAAGTATATTCAGTCACACGTGTTTCGCTTTTAATCACTAAGGCCGGTATTCCATCTATACGGGAACGTGTAGCGTGAACGTGAAGCGCGAACGTAAAAAATCAAACAAACGATTTCCTATTGTATTTATTCCTTATCGGCGTGAGCGCGACGTAAGCGTGAAACGCGAATTTATGACATGTGACCGTGTAACGCAAGCGTGAAACCGGTCGCTATATGTAGTGATTTTTCAAGTTCACGCACGGCATTCGCGGACGAGAAGCCACCATAAAAGGTCCTCTATCTATGCCAGATGCAACAGAAAAACTTATTGAAGCAATTAAAAAATGCCCTTTTCTGTACGACCAGTCCCTTAAGGAGCCCAGGGACACAGGCATCAAAGACCGGGTGTTGCAGACAATTGCTGACTCTCTCAACATTCCTGGCTTGAAATGTACACCTAACATAAATTAATTTCAGGTGCAAAACAATGTTGATTTACGTGTGTGTAGTTTTTGCAAGCATGCTTATGACAAAGCAAAACCACCCAAGAGAGTAAGAAATTGCGTCCACTCATCTAATGATATATTTTCTTTTCAACAAAAATGAACGAAACAATTGTTTTCACGCTAACCGGATGAATCGAATAGTGTGAGCGTGAAAGCTCACGCCTCATGTTCAAGTTTCACGCTCACGCCAAACGTTCACGTCGCGCTCCCGTATGAATAGAATACCGGTCTTATACATGTTCGCTCTTACATAAAACATAAAATGTAAATGTGCCATGTACATATTTAAGTAATTAAAATGCAGGAAAACAAAGTCACTTGTACAAGATGTGAACAAACATAATCAAAAATGTTCAAGTTTAAAAAACATAAACGAACGGTTAGGTAATCATGTGAAAATATCTGACAAAATGATCCCTCGGAAGCATTTAAAACAGCAAAATTGCATGAAAATTGCAGACTCGGTTTGAGTTTGTACATGAGGACTAATGAAAAAGTGTAACATTCCTCACGCCCCCTAGCACCGACTTGAGCGATTCTCAATTCTCAACACTTAAAAGTGCTGGACATAATGATCCCGAAAAAAAAAACAGAAAAAAATAAAATAAATAAAACAACATTGAAGTGAAGAACGGGCAACGTTTTATGGCTGCCACATAGCACTTGATATCTGCTGTTGTGATGTATAAATACATAAAAGTTAATATATAGCAAAGTTGTTCCTTATTCTTTATACAATACATGCTTTACGTCTAGAAAAATAATATATTTGTATCATTTCTTAATCAAATCCGACCATTTTTCGTTTAGTTAAAGCACTAGATAGTATGTTATAATTGGTATTTTTTATGATTGAAGTTCCAGTCTTAAAGGTTTGCTTTGCTACTATCTTAATGTAAATGTGTGGTAGAGAATGTTATGCACTTTTTATGTAGTTATTGTAATGAAAATCTTTTTGTATCAATGTGTGCTATTAAAGAAAGCTAAAAGTGATATTTGATATTGAATATGTTCCAGGTTCGGTTCGACCTCAGTCAGCCATCGACACCAGTATCCGCAAGTTATCACACCCTTGACATACCTGGGAAAAACTCGATAACTAAACAGATTAATAATATCTGTCATATGTTACGGTTCGGACCGGAATATCCGTCCCGAGGTGACCCGCCCATTGGGCTGTAACGAGGCTTGCCGAGTTACCGCCCATGGGCGGGTTACCGAGGGACGGATATTCCGATCCGAACCGCAAACATATGTCAGATATTTTTTTCTTGCATATTCTACAATATTTCATTATAATTTAAATTCTTTATCTTTATTTTCAACGGAAATTTATATCATTACAGTCGTAACTATTTTCTTACAACAGCGTATGAAATTGCAACTTCATTCATAACGGTAAAATGACGTCATCCTAAGCGTGCCATTGTACAGCACGCGACTCATCTGGCACCCCCCATGCCAGATGAATTTCCGGCATGGGTAAAACACACGGAAACGCCAGTCTGCTATGCAAGAAATGCAAATACGGGTATTATTGAAATTTAGTCGGTTCAAACTAAAACGCAATGTGTACTTTTTGTGCTATCATTACGAGACCGTACATTGAATTGTTTTAATTATAGATCTGTAACAAAAATCAACAAGCAATTATCATAGTATTGCAAGCAATCCATAAGTCCCCTACCGGTAAGAGCCCAAGCAACATTCTGAAGGGCCATTGGCCATTCACTTAGGTTCCTATTTTAAGTAAATTTGTTGAAAAAGTTCTTTAAAAGTGATCACAGGAAACAGTTTTTATGTACAGACAGACGGACTGAAGGACACTCTAAAGTTATTTTTTAAACATCCCTGTTATCAAAATATAACATTTTTAAAATCCTATCATGATTGAAGAAGTTGGAGTAAAAATTACCAATTTCTCAAAAAAAAGTCTAAGTTCAAAAGGGGCATAATTCTGGAAATAGTATTGCTAGAGTATTGAACACTCACAAATGTTGAGTGACAATAAGAAACATTAATATGAAGTTTGAAGTAGATACATTCAGAAAAAGAAGTTATTAAAAAAAAAACAATGTTTTTTTCATGAAAATTTTAAGTTCAAGGGAGGTAATTCTGATAAATTTTGTGCTAGAGTTGTAAATCTTGTCACATATGATGTGGTTGATGACAAACAACTTATATTTAAAGTTTGAAGAAAATACCTTAAGAAATAAAGAACTTACAGTGAAAAAACTTAAAAACTAGAATCAGAAATCTTGAAATTCAGTCTATTTGTTGCCATAGCAACCAGAATTTTCAACATAGGAAAATAAAAAAGGATGTGCATAATTTCCATACTGCCATCTACCCATATGTCACGTTTCATAAACATATTTTCAGTACTTTTTGTGTTATCACTGGATCCACGTTATGTGTAAAATTTGCCATATTTTCAGTCTATTTGTTGCCATAGCAACCAGAATTTTCAACATAGGAAGAAAAGAAAAAGACGTGCATAATCTCCATACTGCCATCTAGCCATATAAAAAACAATGTTTTTTTCATGAAAATTTTAAGTTCAAGGGAGGTAATTCTGATAAATTTTGTGCTAGAGTTGTAAACCTTGTCACATATGATGTGGTTGATGACAAACAACTTATATTTAAAGTTTGAAGAAAATACCTTAAGAAATAAAGAACTTAAAGTGAAAAAACTTAAAAACTAGAATTAGAAATCTTGAAATTCAGTCTATTTGTTGCCATAGCAACCAGAATTTTCAACATAGGAAGATAAAAAAGGATGTGCATAATTTCCATACTGCCATCTACCCATATGTCAAGTTTCATAAACATATTTTCAGTACTTTTTGTGTTATCACTGGATCCAGGTTATGTGTAAAATTTGCCATATTTTCAGTCTATTTGTTGCCATAGCAACCAGAATTTTCAACATAGGAAGAAAAGAAAAAGACGTGCATAATCTCCATACTGCCATCTAGCCATATATCAAGTTTCATAAAAATATTTTCAGTACTTTTTGCGTTATTACGGGATCCAGGTTATGTGTAAAATTTGCCATATTTTCAGTCTATTTGTTGCCATAGCAACCAGAATTTTCAACATAGGAAGAAAAGAAAAAGACGTGCATAATCTCCATACTGCCATCTATCAATATATCAAGTTTCATTAAAATATTTTCAGTACTTTTTGCGTTATCGCGGGATCCAGTTTTGTGGACGGACGGACTGACGGACGGACAGACGGACTGACGGACAGACGGACAGACGGACGGAGGGTAAACCTAAAGTCCCCTACGGTAAACCGGTAGGGGACTAAAAACATGTTCCATTGATTGACATGCTAAAATAAGTAATTTATGAAATAAATTAAACATGAAATGTAACATTCAGCATACTGTAGGCATCTCAAACAGGTAATCGTCAACTCAACTTTATATTAAAGGTATCTCACATATGCTGATGAAATTGGTATTTATCACTCAATCGTATAAACTGTATTTCCATTTTAAAAGAAGATGAAACTATTAAACCTAGTATTTGTGTATAAATGAAGTCAAAAATACGACTCTCATAATAAAATAAACAATACTGGGATTAAAATAAGTTTTTTTATCGTCGCCATTGTGTTTTATTGATGTTGCTGATACTGCTATTATTGAGGTTGTTGCTGATGCAACTGCTACTGCTAATGTTATTGTCAGTAGAAGTTATAGAAGAAGTAGAACTAGAAGTAGTATTTCTTGCTCCTGTTGTCATCGTCGACGGGACTATATCGACCCATGTGGCATGATTAATGAAAGTTTGCACAAGGTTCAAAAGGTAATGCTATATGGTAAATATTTTAGCTCTTGGCATTGTAGTTTCACAAAATAAGACTTAAATGGACGTTTTTTCTATATAAGTCTACATGATTTAAGAGTCTCACTGGTCAGGCCATATATTGACCAACGAGGCATGATTTAAAATTAATATTAGTTTTGTGGAGGTCCATAAGGAAATGTTATATGTCAAATATATAAGCTCTGGGTATTGTACATGTTGTAGTTTCACACTTAAGACTCAATAAGTTTTCCTATAGACGTCATCATAAAATATGTGACCCCGGGTCGGGCCAATTTGACCCAAGGGCCATGATTATATCAATTATGCCATTCTGAAAAAGACTTAACGAAAATCACGGAAGTAAAAGACGTACAGCAAAGAAGGATAATCATATTAATACTTTTACAGAGAGTTCAGACACGTTAGAAATACAACAATCAGAAATGATAATGGCCAAGAATGTAAGTAAAGTATTAAAACACGAAGTAAGTCACAACAATGAGCAATGCACATGTGAAAACAGCAATTCCGCAAATCAACACTTAAGCATAATGATAGACATATATTGTGCAGTTTACTCGCAAAAATGAATGTTTTAGAAGGCGTAGTAATACAGAAATTCAGTGAACCGAAACAGTTGACCCAGGCAGATTCGAATGACGACAACACCACTAAATATAGATTAGAAAAATGCTACGTTAAATTCATAAATAAAAGATTTTCTATTTAGAAAATGCTCTAGGTTTTGTAGATATCAACAAGACAGTGCTATATGGCAAATATCTATATTTATATATCTACTAGCATTGTAGTTTCACAAAATAAGACAGAAATATGTTTTCTTATACAAAACTATATTAACTAAGTGACCTCCGGTGCGGGGCCAATATTGACCCAAGAGGCATGATTAAAACCAGTTATTTTATGGTCCATAAATTGATGTTACATGCTAAGTTTCTAAGCTCTGAGGTTCTTTGTTTTATACAATAAGTCCCAGATGTGTTTTCCTCTATAACTCTTTACCTGGGACAGGATCAATATTGAATCAATGGGACTTGATTCATATCAGTTTTGTAATGGTCAAAATGTATGCTATGTATCTAAGCTCAAGACATTGTAGTTTCACACCATGAAACTTTAATATGATTTTCTATATGTCTATATAAATCAAGTAATTTCCGAGGCGGGGTGAACTTTGATCTCAGGAAGCCCAAACCTGCACATCGCTCCTTGTAAGGAATATTTTGAAATTCATACAAAATGACGAATTGTGGTCTTGACCTGAGGAAAGACAAACCTGCGCTCTCTTCATGGCCTATTTATGGTTAACATTTTTGCCCAGTAGTCCACCGGTTCATAAATATACATACCGCAAACGAAACGTGCTAACAAACGGACGGATGGACGACCAGGTGCATTATAATATTCGTCGGAAACAAAATAAATAGTCATCATAGCTGAATGTATAGGAATCAATGACCTCGAAGGAACAGAAAAACTAAAGAAATAATTAGCAGATGATTTATTAGTTCTAAAAGATATATTTCATAACAATCTTGTTATACATTGTAATATTTGATGGTAAGGCGATATACAGTGCTCTATGTTTTACAGCTTAAAAAACATTAGAACATGTTTCTATTCACAAAGAGAGTAACGATAATGATTTCGATATTATGTTTGCCTTGCATGAAATGACGGCTTTTACCCCTAGCCATTTTATTTTCAAGCATGTGTGATACGCAATGAACTTATAATACAATATTTAGTTACACGTTTATAATACAGATGTATTGCTGAGATTATTTCTTTTGAAAGAATTTCGCAATTAAGCAAAGTGTAAATAAATATTTAAACAGGAGAAGTGTTTAACTTTAGATGTTTTGGTCTGTGCTTGAAATATTGTATTTCATTGTATGTTTTAAAATGGATCCTTTATTCATGTATCTCTTTTCGATGTCTTTGACATATTATATGTTGTTACATACATGTAAATTTGAAAACATGTATGAACTTGTTTATTCTAAATTTACACTGAAGTTCGCATATTTACGCAAATAGCCAGTAGATTACTTTTAGAATAGAAAAAAATAAAGCTTGTCAATGTTAAAACATGCGCGTCATAAAACTAGCTTTATTTTAATTATGTGTAACATTTTATAATCTTTACTTTGTGGCCGAAGGGTTGACTTTAATGGCAGAGGCATTAGAATTGTAGCCGGCGACTAAATGGGTTTAAATAAATTAAGCGTGGTGTTGCTTTGAAGATTTGCCAAATTCATCTTTCCTGTTTAGGCGCCTTATGACCCAAACTGTGTTGATGCGCCATAAAACCAAAGAAGACAAAACACTAAAAAAACATCAAATTCAAACAATTTAAAACAAAAGTATCAATTAATTTCAGCATAGATAAATTTCCTTTGAATGCGAAACATCGAGAACTTGAAATTTTATACCTGCATCACTATATATATTGTTATGTGAATTTTAGATTTTTAAGTCCCGGATTTGCATTGTCCTCGACATTATCACTGTACGCTAGAAAGTTTAAATACCTTAAATTGGACATATACATGAAAATTACTTTGACACGAAGATCAAATTACACCATGTTTAATATTTTTGCCTGATTATTTCACATGCAAACTTATATTTCCAATCACAATATGCATCGTGCCATCGCCACAATTTTGATGTCCCTCCAAAATGGAAAACCTTGCACAGCTCACCAGAACGTAAGTGAGGTTCGCCCTGTGTTTCATCCCAATAGGTGAATGAAGGATTTGTAGTTTGAACATTGTGTCTCCATTCATGGCTGCCTTCAGACCGGATACCATCTATCCATATGCCTTTAGTTATCGAATGATTGTGCAGTAATTTTTCTATATCTTTAGCCTTTTGCTCAGAGTCGATATTTACAAGATGCCCACCGTCACGACGACAAGTATTCTCCGCATCACTTCGATTCATAAGATTTACGTAGATCTTCAGGCAAATCCAATTAAATGTGTAATTATACACTTGATACTGGTTTGGACAAATCTGCTCGCAAATTTTACACTCAAACTGTACATCAATAGAGGAACTTTCATTACACGTATCGGTATTGCCACCGCATGTTCTGTTTCGTTTTTGGATTCCAAACTTTGCCCGCCATACATACTTGTTTCACATTTGTGACCATTCGT